TAATGTCAAAATCGGTAAAAGGCAAGCTCTCTGGAATGGATTAATGCCGTTAACTGAGGGTTCACTGTAGTTAGTAGTAGTAGTAGTAGTAGTAGTATAGTAGTAGTATAATAGTATAATAGTATGTAGTAGTATAGAAGTAGTAATATAGCAGCAGTAGTAGTAGTAGTATAGTAGTAGTAGTAGTTAGTACTACTACTACCCCCACTACTACTACTATTATACTACTACTACTACTACTACTATACTACTACTACTACTATTACTACTATTACTATTACTACTATTACTACTACTATTATTACTACTACTACTATTATTACTACTACTTTTATTACTACTATTACTACTACTATTATTACTACTACTACTATTACTACTACTATTATTACTACTATTATTACTACTACTATTATTACTACTACTACTATTATTACTACTACTATTACTACTATTACTACTACTATTACTACTACTATTACTACTACTATTACTACTACTATTACTACTACTACTATTACTACTACTACTACTATTATTACTACTACTATTACTACTACTACTATTATTACTACTACTATTACTATTACTACTATTACTATTACTACTACTATTACTATTACAACTATTACTACTATTACTATTACTACTATTAATACTATTACTACTACTACTATTACTACTACTATTACTACTACCACTATTACTACTAATACTATTACTACTAATACTATTACTACTACTATTACTACTACTAGTAGTAGTAGTAGTAATAGTAGTAGTAGTAATAGTAGTAGTAGTAATAGTAGTAGTAATAGTAGTAGTAGTAGTAATAATAGTAGTAGTAGTAATAGTAGTAGTAATAGTAGTAGTAGTACTACCACCACTACTACTATTATACTACTACTACTATTATATGACTACTACTACTATTATACTACTACTACTTCTACTTCTACTACTTCTACTTCTACTACTTCTACTACTACTATACTACTACTATTACTACTACTATTATTACTACTACTATTATTACTACTACTACTATTATTACTACTACTATTATTACTACTACTAGTACTACTACTATTAATACTACTACTACTACTATTACTACTACTACTACTACTACTATTACTACTACCACTATTACTACTACTACTATTACTACTACTACTACTATTAGTACTATTACTACTACTATTACTACTATTACTAGTAGTAATAGTAGTAGTAGTAATAATAGTAGTAATAGTAGTAGTAATAAAAGTAGTAGTAGTAGTAGTAATAGTAGTAGTAGTAATAGTTGTAATAGTAGTAGTAGAATAGTAGTAGTAGTTAGTACTACTACCACCACTACTACTATTATACTACTTCTACTATTACTACTACTACTACTACTATTACTATTACTACTACTACTATTACTACTATACTATTACTACTACTACTACTACTACTACTATTACTACTACTACTTTTATTACTACTACTTTTATTACTACTACTATTATTACTACTACTATTATTACTACTACTATTACTACTATTACTATTATTACTACTATTACTACTACAACTATTACTACTATTACTATTACTACTACTACTATTACTATTATTACTATTACTACTATTATTATTACTACTATTACTATTACTACTATTACTACTACTACTTCTTCTACCACTACTACTTCTACCACCACTACTACTTCTACCACTACTACTACTTCTACCACTACTACTACTACTACTACTACTACTACTACTACTATTATTATTATTATTATTATTATTATTATTATTATTATTGTTATCACTTCATTTCTATTTCTACCATTGCCACTGTTGCCACCACTACCACTGCATTCCCTTGGTTTCTCCTCTCTCCTCCCAACCTGTCTTGTAGTCCTCTCTGTGTTTTCTCGCCCAGTTGTGACTTGACAGTCGTCCAGAACAATTGAAACACAATTAAAAACTCACTCACTCTCTCTATCTATCTATCTATCTATCTCTCTGTCTATCTCTCTCTCTATATCTCTATCTCTCTCTATCTCTCTCTCTCTCTCTCTTTTTTTTTCTTTTAGAAACTGACTTATTGCATTGACTTTAGCCCATGAGCTTGCCCTTCACATTTCTTTTCCTTGATGTTAGCACTTCTGCCATTCAGCACTGAATAACCCATACAGGTTTAGTATTTTTTGTGAATACACTATAATACATATAACAGTGCAAATGCTTACAAACAAAATTGAGCCACATTTAGGAAGATGAAAAAGCCTAAAAATATCCAATAGATTTGTTACATAATACTGTTTACAATTCAAACTTTTGTAGTCAAGGATGTCTTCCTTTTTTACACTGACCCACATTTTGCACAAAAAAAAAAAAAAGGTGAGGTACTGCATCTCCCATAACAATTGCATGTTAAGAACTTCCAAGCTTGATACCTACTAACCACATGATCAGTGTCCCTCACATGTATAAATGAGGCATTTGCTTCTTTGTTAAATTACTCTTGTTGTTTCAGATGAGACTTTAGAGATTTCCCAGTTTGTCTTACGTATACTAAATGACAATGTATACATAGTACAGAGTAAACACTCCTTAGTGTTACTAGAGGGGGATTTTTTTCTTAATTTGTGATTGTTGGCATTTACAATTTTAAAGGCAACTTTCAGAGCTTTCCACTTTGGGACATGTAAGGTGTTTTCTTCTCCCACCCTAATAGTTTTAGTAATATGTTTATTTGGTAGGCACAGAAATGAGAAAAAGACTCTAGTGCAGAACTAGCTCTTATTGTGACCCTGTACAGTATTGTTGAAGATTACATGGCAAACCTGCTCTTTTACACACTACATAATGAATTAATTGTTAGTATAAATGCATTTACAGCAAAGAAGAATCTTTTGTTTATGAAAGGTTTTGCCCACTAGGTGTTTTATCAAGTGCGGTACATGATAAACTCTCCGTAAGGTAAAATTTGTTAATAAATAAAAGGTACTTTGCTATACAGTGGACCCCCGGTTATTGGCCGTAATCTGTTCCTGAAGGTTGGCCGATAACCTAATTAATATTTCCCTTAAGAATTAATAGAAATAAAATTAATTCGTTCCCAACAAAAATATTCACAAAAAAAATATTTTTTTTTTACAATTTTGTAAGTATTACATACCTTTATTGAAGGCTAATGCTGACTTCTGGAAGATAGGGAGTAGGAAAGAGGGAGGAGTTAGTGTTTGGAAGGGGAATCCCCCTCTATGAAGACTTTAGGTAGTAATGCCATCTCTGGGGTTACTTCCCTTCTCTGTCTTTTAATGCCACTAGAACCAGCTTGAGAGTCAATGGACCCATCTAACAAAATAACTGTCCAGAGTGCTCTGTTTCTGGCGCCTCTTTAAGATTTCCCTGAAGTAGGACAGGGTTTTGTCACTAAACATGTTGCAGATATGGCTTGTTTCAGCTTTGTCTGGGTGGTGTTTCTCTACAAAAGCTTGCACCCTGGTCCACATTACACACACCTCTTTAATCTCTGAAGAAGGCACCTCCTTCACTCCCTCTTCCTCCTCCTCTGAAGCAAGTTCCTCAGCTGCAATCTGTTGCTGTTCAAGTTGAAGCTCTTGCAGCTTTTCAGTGGTAAGCTCTTCCCTGTGGTCCTCCACCAACTCTTCCACATCCTCACCACTCAACTCCCACCCCAGGGACTTCCCCAAAGACACAGTAGAGTCCACAGGGTCGGCAGGGTCAGGGTCATGGTCACGGTGACTCTCTCACCCTTCAAATTCCCTTTCTCGGACACAATCTGGCCACAGTTTTCTCCAAGCAGAGTTCAAAATCCTGGAAGTCACTCCCTCCCAAGCCTTACCTATAAGGCTTATGCAATGGAGGATAGTGAAGTGATTCCTCCAGAACTCTCTTAGGGTCAACTGAGTGTCCGAGGTCACTTCAAAGCACTTTGAAACACTGCTTTTGTGTAGAGGTTTTTGAAGTTAGAAATGACCTGCTGGTCCATGGGCTGGAGAAGAGGAGAGGTGTTAGGAGGCAAGAACTTCACTTTTATAAAACTGAAGTCCCTAAACACTTGGTCTTCCAAGTCTGGAGGATGTGCAGAAGCATTGTCAGGAGGCACTTGAGTGGCAATTTCTTTTCCAAGAGGTATTTTTTCACACTTGGGCCAAACACATCATTAATCCACTCTTTGAAAATTTGCCTTGTGACCCATGCCTTATGATTAGCTTTCCACATCACACACAATCTATTCTTCATGACATTGTTTTTCTTAAACACTGGAATTTTTTTGAGTGATACACAAGTAAAGGCTTCGCTTTGAAATCCCCACTAGCATTACCACACAACAAAAGAGTAAGCCTGTCTTTCATAGGCTTGTGCCCTGGCAGTGCCTTTTCCTCCTGGGTAATGTAGGTCCTCTTTGGCATTTTCTTCCGAAACAGGCCTGTTTCGTCACAATTGAAAACTTGTTGGGGTTTGAATCCTTCAGCCTTTACATAGTCCTGGAATTTGTGAACATGCTGTTCAGCTGCACATTTGTCAGAACTTGCAGCCTCACCATGCCTTACAACACTGTGTATGCCACTACGCTTCTTAAATCTATCAAACCATCCTTTGCTGGCCTAAATTCACAAACTGCAGCACTTGTTCCAGGCATTTTCTTTGCAAGATCCTCATGCAACTGCTTTGCCTTCTCACAAATAGTAGAATCCACTGCACTGTCTCCCACTAATTCTTTTTCCTTAATCCACAATAATAATAATACTTTTCCATCTCTTCCATTATTGGTGTCCTTTGTTTAGTTAGAAAAGCTACTCCTTTTGCAACATTAGCGTCTTTGATTGGTTCTTTCTTTGCCAGGATGGATGTAATTGTTGATTTATTCTTGCTGTACATCCTGGCAAGTTCCATCACCTTCATACCACACTCAAACTTTTCGATCACTTCACGCTTAAATTCCATGGTGTTTCTTACTTTCTTTACCACAGGAACTTTACTAGGAACTTTCTTTGGAGCCATGGTTACTTATTTCATAGTTGCACGGCAAGAAAAACTACTAAAAACAATGGTAAACAAGTAAAATGTTTGGATGTATGAGCAGATATCTCCTCAGCCACCGAGAGACAAAGCCAAACTGAAGTGCAAGCTGCCCCAGCCGGCGGATGGACGCGTCCAAAACTGCCGATAACTGAGCAAACGGCCAATAACCAGGCAAACGGCCGATAACCAAACCGGCTGATAACTGGGGGTCCACTGTACTTTCTTCATACTGTAATACCATTTTTTAAATGACTTACAGCCATTAAAAAAAAAAAAAGCCATTTCCCACTGAGGTAGAGTGACCCATAAAAAATAAGGCAACACATTCCCCATCATTCATTCAGTTGCTGTCTTACCAGAAGCGTTCTGACATCACAGTTCAGATGACTTTTCAAACTGCAACATCCTCAACTTTACAGCCATATATTCACAGTTGACTCTGCTGCATCACCCTATGACAGATGTTACCATTCCATTTGTTTAATTTGACTATTGTTAATTAACTATACACCAGCTTTGGATAATTTGGAGTGAAATAATCAAACCTTACCAAAAATAATTTTGTATTGTTGCTTAGAGTGTTTACAAATTAAATCAGGTAAAGGTTTTTTGAAATGAATTGCTTATACTGAAGACAGGTTGAGAATATAAACTGGTATATAAAAATCTATCAATCTGGAAACTTGGGTAATTAATTTGGTCATCAGACTTGTCTTCAGGTGAATGAGGGGTCGTTGTCCAAACTGGAAAATGATTGGTTTAACTGATTCTGCTATGATGATCCCTTAAAAAAGGTTTCTAGATATTGGACTCATTCTCCCATTCTTCAGATCAAATCTTATTGCTTCTCATTCCCCAGGCACTGTATGACCTCTATGGGTTTGGTTTTCTCCCCTAAGTGTGATAATAACAATAATAATAATGATAATATTAATACTGGAAATACTAGTAATGATAATCTTGTTTATTGAATATCAGAAAATAGAGCATCCACGAGATAAATTCACATGCAAACAAAAAATATAGTACCAGTATATTTTTGATGTACTGTATACCATTCAAGACCATGATTAATATGCAATACAGTACTAATTTATATTATATATATATATAATATATATATATATTTTATATTATATATATATATATATATATATATATATAATATATATATATATATATATATATATATATATATATATATATATATATATATATATAAATTATATATATATATAATATAGATATAGTTTCAACCAGGCTGTCAAGTGTCAGTGAAAACAACACATGATTTTTAGTCTTCAGTGCCTTTCACAAATTTATGTAAATATTTGTAGTTATGGCTAGTAAAGGAATTTTTCTTATTGAGCTTTTCTTGATTGGATCCCAACACTTGAATGCTGTAACAAAAGTTAATTTGTTCTTGTACAAGTGCTAGATATACAACAGCAATGTTTGACTTGCATATCTAACTTTGTCAGTTTGTGTAGGAACCATGACAACACCAGTATAAGTAAGTCATACAACAGCAGCAGTGTTTAAATTGTGTACCTAACTTTGTCAGTTGGTGTAGGAGCTATGACAACACAAGTAACAGTAAGCCATGTCCCACTTTCATGGGTTGGAGAAATGCTTCTCAGGAAAAGATGGAGAACAAATTTAGGAAAAGTTTTAAAGGGTAAACCTAGTGATACTGTACCTGACTTCTCATGCCACCTCACTTGCTAGTAAAGTAACAAACTATCTACAGTAATTTAACCATGAAAACACCATCGATTACACCATACACAACATGTGACTATTTTGAGTGAGACTGTTATTGTAAACCATTGATCATTGCTATCATTAAAAAATGCAAAGCAGTGATGTGGCAAAAAGTTTAATTAATGTAGAATATACAGCATCAGTATAAATAAAAAAATTATTGATATCAGGACGTCTCCTTAAACCTAGTTGTATACGATAAATAGAATCATTAAGTTGTATGAGTGCAGTTTGATTGGTCTCTAAAAAGCTGTCTTAATGTATAAGTAAAGTAAATCCTTGATTTATCTGACTATAATTTAACTGATTTTGGAAATACAGGACAAAATCTGCTGAGACAGTTAATTTGGAAAGAACAGACAAAATTTGTTAGTTACAGAGGTGTCCATTGTTATTACAATCATGGCAAAACATTCTCAGCTCTATCTACCACAAATGCCATTACCAGCCACCCACTGTCCCCTATTAGTCCTTTAAATTGAGGGTTTACTTATTCTCAAGTTTTTATTTAATCTTTAAGATAAGACATACTGCAGAAATTTTTTTTATTGGACCAACTTTTTGCTTTGGGTAGAGTGAGATGTTGTCCCCAGTACAAACTTTTTCTGCAGCATGTGTCTTCGCTTTGCTATTGTTGGCAGTATGCCATAGGGATTATTTTTTTTATCTAATCTTGAAAAATGTAGGTGTACCACCATAACCTTACAGCTTTAGCCAATTCTTTTAAAAATACATATGGCCATATTTTTGCTTCTGTTTGCAGGAAAAAAAGAATAAATGTGTAGTGATAACTTCATTTCTTTGTATACAAGCAGCTGGTATCAGAAATCCATACACAAAATTTAGAGCTCTCGAATGTTTCAGTGATTGTACATCGTATATTAGAAATTGTTTTAGAAAATTAGTGTCCTGGACAGCAATAACAGCTTCTTGTAACTATACATGTACTCTGCATCTTTATTTAAAGTATAATTAAAACTGTGCCTTGATTTTCACTGGCCAAAAATATAGTTTAAGATCAATAATGGTAAATCTGAGTAACCTGATATTTGATATTACAGTCAGTAGTCAGATATGTAATTAATGGTTTAGTACAGTACACAGTTTGACTTTCACACATCTTTATATTAAACCTTTTGTTAAAAATTCACTTATTTGTTCACATTCTGAAGAAATGACACAGGTGATTAACAAGCTTTTACTGATATGTTTCTATATGTAGAACTCCACACAGGACAAAACATTGCAAGATAAAAAGATTGCTTCACACCTATGTTTTTTCATTACTATTGATAGTATGCCTTTGTATCTCGGTTACATCCTCTTTATTTCATACATTTGATATACATACCATCCAGGTAAGCTTCCAGATAACTAGAGTGAATTCTTATTCATGTAATAATTAGGGTATAAGTAAGATACCCTTGAGGTAAATTACAAACCCTTGGCACTTGTATTAATGTTTTTGTTAAGCTTACATTTCAAAATCTGGACATGTGTATCACTTGTATTTGTGAGTGTCTGTCCATCTGTACCCAACACTTCTGTTAATTTCACATGTTGAAGTTATGGGTGGATTAGACACAACAGGTATGTACATGTGACTGTTCTTACAATGTAGTATAGGTATTATTTAACATGTATTTCACAACTTAAACAGTCATTATTCAATTCTTACTAGGCAGCCCATATTTTATAGATGAAGGCAGTGTTAGGTTTCTAATTTGGCTTTAAGCTAGTGTCTGGAATTTACCAGTATTCCTACCAGCCTGTCATGAATTCCCAACTTGTTCACAAGTATCCATCCAAGTGTGGGAGGTGTACATTCCTGTCTTAGTGTTTTGTCGTAGCAACTCCAGACCAAACACCAAGTTGACTTGTAAATATTGTTCCAGTCCCTGAGTAATGAATAAATCTTTGCTGTGGTTCTTCTTTAATTTTTTATTGAAATTTTGAAAGCACTCATGTTCACACCTATTGGTAATTTTAAGCACTGCATTCAATAAAGGTGTGGAAAAATAGTGAGCTACAGGGTGGCGTGTGACAGGTTATGGCAGTACCATAATAGTACAGTCGCACTTACCAAATATGCAGGGGATACATTTGGCAACAATAAATTTTATTGCAGATTTGGGCTCATGGACTGCAGAAGCATTCTCCTTTAAGTATTGCTCTAATCTTGTTAATATTGACAGTAATAAGAAGTCTCAGAAAAGAGAGATTTATGCTTGAGGAATCCTTTGAGCATATTTGAACAAAATCTTATGGATATATTTCAAATATGTCCATCAGGGCAGAAAAATGGGCACTGTGAAGAAACTTGGGAATAATTGAAGCTTTTGACAAAATGCCCTTCAGTAAAATTGTTGAAAAATTGTGATGTGTCAGCAGATGGGTCTAGAAAGATGAGGTGAACCATAGAATTGATGAGGGAAAAAGGTGAGTGGTGCAATTAGGAGTCTGTGGAGACAACTTAGTCCACGGAAACAAAGGGGGAATGTATGTGAGTATAGTTATACCAGCGCTCTTACATGGGTGTGAAACGTGGGTGGTGAATGTTGCAACAAGGAGAAGGCTGGAGGTAGTAGAGATGTCATGTCTGAGGGCAACATTTGTGTGAATATAATGCAGAGAATTCGTAGTTTGGAAATTAAGAGGTCTACCTGGAGGACATACCAGGGATCAACGCCCCCACGACATGGTCCATGACCAGGTACAGGGTTACCAAAACTATTATCCAGAGGGCTGAGAAGGGGTTGCTGAGGTGGTTTGGACATGTAGAGAGGATGGAAGGAAATAGAATGACTTTGAGAGTGTATAAATCTGTAGTGGAGGGAAGGCGGGGTAGGGGTCGGCCTAGGAAAGGTTAGAGGGAGGGGGTAAAGGAGGTTTTGTGTATGAGGGACTTGGACTTCCAGCAAGCATGTGTGAGCGTGTAACATAGGGGTGAATGGAGACAAACAGTTTTTACGACTTGACGTGCTGTTGGAGTGTGAGCAAGATAACATTGATGAAGGGATTCAAGGAAACCGGCAGGCCGGACTTGAGCCCTGGAGATGGGAAGTACGTACAGTGTCTGCACTCTGAAGGAGGAGTGTTAATGCTGCAGTTTTATAACTGTAGTGTAAGCACACCTCTGGCAAGACAGTGATGAAGCGAATGATGAAAGTTTTTGTTTTTCGGGCCACTCTGCCTTGGTGGGAGACTGCTGATGTGTTAATAATAATAAAAAAAATTTTAAATGCATGACTTAGGAGTCCCACAAAATTTTGGGGTTCAGCTGTATAACCAGATACATTGTGAGAGTTAATGGGTAAAATAGTAGTGGCCATTGTAAAGTTTGCAGAATAAATGAAATTTTAAATATTGTTTTAAGTGCAGAGACTTGGGGGAAGACATGGATGAGATGTGTTGTGCAAACATTGCTCAATAAAAGACTAGACACTAAAGTACCGTATGGTACTGTACTTAGTGAGGGTTAGAGGACAGAATGGTCATAAAAGTGTATTGGAGGGAATCAAGTCAGAGGTGTAGAAGAAATCATAGGAAAGTCTCTCATAGTTGACTATAACAGTGAGAGGGATTATAGGGCAGTTCTGCATGGGAGTTGTGGGATAATAGACTTATGGATAGTGTAAATAGATACAGTAATATGTTGTAATTTGTTTAAACTGGTACATATTTCTTCTTTGTACTCATTTTCTTTGGCAGATTTATTTTTACTCTTATTGCATGTTGTACAGTATTATAGTTGCCACATGTAGAGACTGCCCCTGGTTATGTTGAGTGTTCTTAACTATTATCATTAATATTAATGGTGATTCCTCTGATGGACAGACACACACACACACACACTCCCACATGCAGATATCCAATGGACATGCTGAGCGACTAACTGTGCAGCCTGTAAGAGAAATGTGCCAGTATACACACAAAATTTGGTCCCATATCAGTTAGATTTCGGCTAGCTTTTAGACACCAGATATGTACAATACGGCCTATTGAATATTTTTGAGCTTAGGATGATACCCTTTACATAAATCCCGGATAAAACTTTAAAAATTGAACGTAATATGTTCTGCATCTCAATTTTCACTACAACCAATGTATAACTTGCACATTCAGACGTTTAGGAGGAACCGTTGTGTCATTTGCAGGTGTTAGTGAATTGACCAGTTTAGGAAATAGCAGATGTCAAACACATTGCATTGTAAAATGTATCACAAATGACAGAACCCTGTGGGGTTAGAATGTGTCACTTGTTTAATAGTGTTGAGTTTATAAATAATATTGTCAATATGTCTCAGGATTCGAGAATA